TACAGTAGCGGAATTAAAGAAAACAATTCTAATCAAATAACCAGTGATAAATCAGTAATTCTTTCGGTTCCACTTGAAGTTTAAAATAATTAATAAATATTACATATAATAATAATACTAAATACTTATTATTAGACTTTAGGTAAAATAGACAGATACCTTAACTTCAACGCACTTAATGCACTGGCCTCGAAAATTGTTCAAATTACTTATTAGTCTGTAATGACTTGATAATTTTTTAAACTAGAATGAGTTAACAAAATTGATGTAAAACCAAAATGAAACTGGTTAGTTTCAATAAAAAATCGTTAAAATCAATTTATAACGGGTAAAGATATTTATATCTTGGAATATACATATTCAAATTCTTATATTGTTGAATTGAGAATATTAACGTATGAAAACTTTTTTGTTTTTAATTTAATTTGAATTTAATAAAAAATAAAAATCATTCTTTTTCTAGCTGTCAACATGTCTTTTATTCATAAAATTTAATATATTTAAAATAAAGCAAAATATAGCTAGAGCACTAACAAAGAATTTTCTTATATTCGAAGTTAGTTAAAATCTCAGTAATTTAAAAATTTTAGAACATTTGAGATATATCAATACATAGTTATTCTTAATAATTTTATCGGTACGCATTAATATATTTTTAAGGGAAATTGCTAACGGTATGAGAAAATAACAGGTGTCGCCTTTTATGGGGTCGTTTTATAAAGATCAGTAAGTCACCGTCACGGTGCGCGCGCGCTGCCCCGACATCTGGTGACGACGTGGGAAAACTTAACGCCCGCGCCACTCGCCATACGCGAAACTACTATAATTACATTTGGGAACTAGATTGAGGGTTGTAATATTAAGAAAAAAAAATTCACCTAAGTCACATTTATGCGAAGTTGTAAATTAAGATATAGTTTTATTTGTTAGAAATTCATATCGAAACCGTAGATTCAAAACATTATTATTTTTATTAGAATTTCGCTCTTTGATAGTACAAGTATTTCATTTTATCTCAATTTTCTTCGCTTAGAATAAAACAAATTTATGTTCAGAAAGTTTATAATTTTTTTTTATTTTGTTGGTACTTGTATTTCTTGGGTAACGAAGCCGGGGTTTAAATGTGTACGAGATAGAGAGGATAACATGGGCGAAGCCGCGACTCAATTTCAAAATTAGCACGATATTAAATACACTATCGGGACTTAATGCGATGAAAAATTTTTAAATTAACAAAGTACGATTCTTAGTAAATTATCTAAATAAAAATTTGTGGTAAAAACTATCATTATTTATAAAAAATACTAGTCCTTACCCGCTACTTCGTCGACGTGTCTGGGATTATGTTGATTGCCCGATATAAGAAAGGAGCCTATGATGATTGGTTGAGATGAAAGGTTTACGTTGAAAGAAGTAACAAATAAAACAAATCCATGTTAATATTACACTGATTTTGATATTATTTTGATAGGCTTATTTTGGTTAATCGTTAATTGCCCACTGCTGATAAGAGGGACTTTGCCTATAGTTGCTACGCTTGGCAGGTGAGTTGGCAACCGCAGTTAGGCTGTGGTAATGATTTAAAAGGGACGCTGTTGCCCATCTCTCGACCAATAAACTATATAATAAAAATTCCTTAGTCGCTTCTTACGACACTCACGGTAAAGAAAGGGATAGCCTATGCTGGGATTACACGATATATTAGTATCAAATTTTAAAGAACCAACTCAGCTATAACTTTTGTTTAAATTTAGTCCATTTCTTACATAGTTTTAAAATAATATATTATATAAATAACTAATTTTTTTTAAAACCTAAGGTTATCCGACATTGTACAAGGAACTTAAAAAAGAGCTACGGTTTAAAAGTAACTTGTAAGATTTGATCCTTGAATGATGTTCAAGGGTCAAATCTTATCCTATTAATATTATAAATGCGAAAGTTTGTAAGAATAAATGGATAGATAGATGAATGGGCGATTGTCAGTCTTTAATAAAAAAACTGTAGTACGACACGGATTACAATGAATTTTGGTACACGAGTATGTTACATCCTAAATTAGCACATAGAATAGTTTATATACCGATTCAAGCGGACGAAGGCATGAGATTCAGCAAGTATTTAAATATGTATATATTTTTTAATTTTTACAGGATTATACTTATTCAAAAGTAAAAGATAGTAGTAGTTTTTGTTGCAATAAATGGATAATGGCTGATGATGATGATGATGATGATGATACTTGTTCAAAAAGAAACATTTTTAATTATAAAATTCATAATAATTTCCTTTATAAATCTCTTTCCGACACTAAAATCGTTTAAAGCGATGCATTGTGGTTATGACACGCATTGATAATTTTTGTATTTTCCCTGCAATACAAACGTCGGGTCAAGTGAGCATATTAACCCTCGCAGGTGGGGTGGGGGTGTGACCTGCCCTCTAATAATTTGTAACCAACACTTCAGTGCTATATGGCATCATACACAGGTCGGTTGACCTTTATAGTGACATCATTGTGAATCACGTGACATCACTATCACTTTATTTTTTTAATAGTATCAGATTACTTTTTTCCTGAACCTGGCTCTAAGGTACGGTTATGTATTTATTAATTTTGACTTTTTGTGTAGAGAGATAGTGTTAAAATAATACTGTCCGACTACTACCTAATTGGGAGTCACGACGTGTGCATATTTATCTTTTACTAGCTTTTGCCCGCTATTTCGTATGCATGGATTTCAAAAGTAGAGAAACCAATGAAATAGTAAACTTTTTGATGGCTTATCAAGATGAAACATATACGAAACTTTAAGTTACACCTTCAAGAACACAACTGTGTGTAAACCATATCCATTTTGGTGTAGCAGTTTTTGCGTGGTGTTAGAACAAACACAGACAGACAGACAAAAATTTCAAAACAAATATTGTTTTCCCTGCTGTTCCTTTTATTAAAAACCTCTGATATAAGTTTCTTTTTTAACATTTCTGTTGTAATACAAGTCGTGTAGTTATAATTTTATTATAATAGTAAGATTAATTTATTCCGTAAATAAAAAAAAATCGGTTATTTTTTTCTATCATAAGGCTGTATAATTTTATTATAAATTATCAATTTTTTTAATTTTTTTTACTAATTTGTTTATACTTGAGAAAAATACTTCATTTTTCATTATGGTTCATAATTATATAAATAAATTAAGCAACATATTTTTAATATTGTTTCAATATTTTTTTTAATAGCTTATTAAAACTCTAGTTCACACTTGGTCGATGATATCAACTTTGTTTTATCCCAACCTTGCCTTATCACGGATAGCTCGTTAGACAATGCGCGAGGCGTGGCTTCGCTCGTGACTCGAATTAATTCTGCATGTGTCAATGCGGTCTTATACTTCCGACGCCCCACTCATGATTTGTTGTGCTGGATAACTTATTGTTCCTTGACGACGTTTGATTATAACTTACATTATAAGCTGGTTATTTTTTTGTCTATGGTAGGAGATTTTTTTTTATAAAAATTGACGTCGTACTGTTTTTTCTTTTTTTAATTATTTATTGAAATTGAAAATTCACCTAATAAGGTACTAGACTGTTTTATGCAATTTGAAATGGCAAACGATCAAGCTCACCTGTTGGAAGGTGGTACCGTCGCCTATAGCTATGAACTGCACTCATGGTGTTCCTTATGCGTTGACATTGTTGAAGATAAACGTATTTTATGTACATATATTGTAATGTATGCATGATCTATTCTTCGAATCAAAAAACTCTTGTGTTGTAGGCGTATTACAGGCGTTTATCATCAGATGGGCCGTATACGTATTGTTTTCCAAATCTTTGGTATAAAAAAAATTAAAACAGAGCTAGAAGAAATAGCTTAAAGAGCCAGCTACTGATGGAAAGGAAGATTCACAAATAGCAACCCAGTATAGGCAAATACGAAGTTTTTATATGATACTTAAACTGACAAAGAACCCCATCTGATGGTAGTCGTTGCCTATCATCGTAGAACACAATATTAGGCCCATGGCACCCCTCATACTTTGCTATTCCTGAGGACTACGATGTTATGCATCTGTACTCTGTAATTTCATTACCCTATACCATACCCTGCGATACTATGCCATTGCCTTTTTAAACTGAAACATATTCGTCATTCAGTCATTTAAGTACAACTGATTAACAGTAGAAACACGAGTGGGACAAAGGTACCCAAACTGATGTCTTTTGTGGATACTCTTTCAATAGTTAGACATTTATAATATAGAATAACTTTTTCATGTACCCAGTTAGTATATATGAAATGTCATTGAATTCGAACTAAATCGTGTTCATGTGAATCAGGGTTAAACAAGCTAGTTTAAATATAACTCGACCAACACGCAACTATATATTTCAACAATATACAAAACGTCGAGTAAATTAATAGAAAGCCAACAATTAAATGCAAACCCTTTCAACAGGATGCATAAAGTTTAGCTTGACGGCCGATATTGCATATTGACATTGGTTAATAAGTAATTTAAGAATCGCTAGTTGTATTCTGTGGCTTTGCTCGCTTGAATTTAAATAAAAAATATCCAGTGTGTTTATCTGGGAAATGATCTACCTGTATACCAAAATTAATTGGAATCAGTCCAACCCGTTGAGTGTATGTAAAGAACAAACATCCAAGGATTTGTACAAATTTTGATATTTTTACTTGATGTAAATAATAGTAATAGCTTTTAATTATGTGAATGCAGGTGGCTCAGGACCGGTCCTTATGGCAGTTTATAGGAGAGCCTAGCGGGAGACCTATGTTTAGTAGTGGACATATAATGGCTGAAATGATGATGACGATGATTATGTTAGGATTTATGTATAAGGTTAACAGATCTATTCACCATATCTTATGACAGTGCTAATTTTAGCACGATGTCTTATAGTTCTTAATACATATGAGATATGGTATAATTTGAAATGTTATATTGACAGGGCGTTTATAACTATTCCAGATCACCAGAGCTCGAGCACTAAGTACTCGCAGCCTCTTCCAGAGGAGGAGGAGCGTGAAGATACGGAGCCGAGGTGTTCATTCTGTGACGCGCCCTTCCCTAACATAGACGCGTAAGTTTTATTTCTAATACTAATTTACTCAGTATGTGTTGGCGGCGCCCTCAGGTCTGAAGGGTTTTATCGTTGTACACGAATATCGCTGACATGGTTTACTGGAGCCCTTTAGGTCAAGTTTTTTACACAGTATTTATTTTACTATGTTAGGCTTTGTGGTCCTGGCATAAAATACTCGCTCCTCCACTCCACTCACACTACCAGCTGGCTCCTTTCTTTCTCATGGGTGTTGTAAGAGGCGATTAAGGAAGAGCGAGGGATGAGTAGTAGCGTCCCTCTTATAATATCTCCAAGGCCTAACTGCGGTTGCCAATCTGTCTGCCAAGCGTGGCAACTATGAGCAGAACTTCTCAAGGGGAGGCTTATGTTTAGCAGTGGACAATTAAAGGCTTGATATGATGATCATTTATTTGACACCTCTGACTTTTGATATGGTTATACTGATTTTGTGTATTCTTCAAAGTATGAAGCGATAATTGTTTCTGAATTATCTAAATTGAAAATTCAAAGGATATTGAAATTTTACTTTGGAACCTCAAATAGCAGTCTAGCGTTGTTCAAATAAGGTAATATCGATAGCTTAGTCAGACAATGTTCGTCTAAGAAACACATACAGATAGCTAACCTAGAATTTTGTAACAGTCGTTTGTAAACAAAATAATATGAGTATGAACAATAACATGGTGTGCCAAAAAAGAAATAAATGCATAATGGTTCAATTTATTTAACGAAGGGAATGAATAATTTTTCTAATTGAATACTGACTGAAATTTGAAATCTATCCTACAATTTATAAAAAAAAACTTTTTTTTCTATGGTATTATAAATATTTTCCTTAATAGCTTTTTATAATATAATATTAAAATAAAATTGTATTATATATATATTTTAAAATTGTCGTTAATGCCTAGAGGAGAAAAAAGTCTATTGTAAAAAATATCTAATATTGAATGCAAATTTAAAACTTAATTGATTAATATAGAACGATAATTGCTAAAGTAAATGCGATCATTAGTCAATTTGTTTTATCTATCTACATATCTCAGTAACCCATTCCGGTGCTCTATTCTGTGGCTCTCGTTAGATGCAGAAGTCGATCAATTTCAAACGTCTTTAAAACTATTAACCTCTTGCCATTAATATTATTTGGTCGCCAGGAATGGTCCAGTAACGATTTATTTAGTAGAGATGTGCCCATTCGATAACTCGACTCGATGATTTGTTGCCGGGCGCGCCGCGGGCACGCGACGCTCGATCAAGCCTCCGCATCTGTTAAATACACTCACCATCTGACGATTACAGACATTTGAGATAATTTGACAGGATTAATGAAAAAGGATAATTTATTTTTGGTCACACAGCCATAAAACTACAATAGTTTTATCCTTTACTAATGACAAACAAATTACATTGGAAACTAAAATAAAATGCTCACTAAAATGATAAAAAAGTGTCCCATTACAAATAAAAACATCATGAATTTAATATCGGCACGACAAGCGACAGAAAGCCATAATGATGGGCTGTGTCATCATATTCTATTGAAGTGGCGTCGGTGCTCATCAATAATGCAATACTAGATCGAGATTATCGACATGCACCGTTTTACGTATCCTCACGTCCTTATCGTGTCATCCACTATTGTTTTAAACGCTTTCAACAATTATCGACGGAAATCGAAACATTAAAGCGAAACTATGTATTATTTTCTATTTATATTTTATTCAAGAAGCTAAAAAATTATATGTCACTGTCACCTGTTTTCTATAAAGTTTGTAAGTAAAGATGTTAATACTTTCATTTGATATGTTTTATGTTATAGAAAATTAGAAAATTAATATTATATATTTTAATTATTATAGTTATGTAGGTATCATAAAAATCAGCGTATAGCAGCAAACAAAATTGGAATTTTTGTAATAATTTTAACAGATCATTTCGCTCCAGCAGCAACAGTTTACGTGTATGACGTCATACGTTTTCCAGCTGTTACTTTACACAACAATATTTTTTAAATTAATTATATTATAAATAATATACATAAGTACATAAACGTATTTCAATAGCAATACTGTTCCTTTTTTTATAGAAGCCTGATGGAGTATATTGATATTCTGTCAGGTCGATCTCCACACTGGAATTCATCGTAGTAAATTCTTGTTGAATTTGTCACGATGGGTTAACTAACCTGTTTCTATTCTCATCTACCATCACTCACTGATACCACGCTAGCGTTAACGTAGGCGGAGTTGTTGTATCGGCCGTTACCTGTTAAATATAGTCTCTCCCATAAAGTGGGGTTTGCCAGTAGTTGCCATATTTGGCAGGTGGGCTGGCAACCGCAATTTGGTTTTAAGTGATGTTTTAAGAGGGACGTTGCTACCCATCTTTCCACTATAAACTCCCTTAGTCGCCTCTTACAACACTCACGGGACCTGCACTACCACATTAGACGGGGTTACCATTCCATTATCATCCATTTTAACTAGAAAAGTAGCGGTATACTTGTAATATTGTCAACAATATACATCACCAACCATCGATAATATTATTGATATTTTAAATTATACCGTCACGCGTGCTCCTAATACCTGTCGAGGTTTGTTCCAATGCATCGTACGTTACGAAATCCCATTGAAGTATCTTATCGGATTTGTAATTCACTATCGCACATTGTGCGATTCTGTAGCAAATTTGCTACTTACCTGTTTTTTTATTAAAAAAAAAAAAAACAGGTGAATTACTTAGTGTATATTTTTTAATTTCATAATTGTGTATTTATTTAATTTAGTTGGATAGAGTGTAATAAAAAAAACGTGTGGAAAAAAAGTTGTGTTGAAAGTGGAGTTTTTTATATAAATCTAATAAAAGTGAAATTACAACATAATTTTGTTATCCGTATTTTATTTTCAATAAAATAATAAACTATGCTATGTATTATAATATATTTATGCATTTGTTCAGCCTGGCAACAAAAATTTTCATCAAACTAAGTAATATTAGAAACAAATATTGAGAAACATTATCGGCAATTAATTATTGCTTCCGAGTCGCTCGATGCACGGACGCGCGCACTCTCACTTTCGTCAGCGGTAGAGGCTGTCACAATTGGAATGATCTTCGGAGCCGCTGTCACACCTCGAACCAATATCAGCATGATCAGCGGTTACGAAGTCAAAGCAGAATTATACGCTATCAGTTCGTGATCGCCTCTTTTGTACAATCATTATTATTTGCCCATCATAGATTTAGTTTATTTATCGATCTTCGTTCGTGATACGCGATTTATCGTTTTGCGCTTATTTTACGTTTAAGTAGGTATCTGATATAATTAAATTGATTTCTCTAAACTATGCAAATAAGAGAATAGTCGTAAAGTAAAACTGGTAATAGATATCGTTGACGTATTGTTTGTTTTTTCATAATTATTTAACAATTTAAAATTGCATATGATAGAGTAGTGGAGTAATAAAATGGTGCTTGTTTAGTTTTACTATTGCTTATTTATATAATATATTTTTATATCTTTTTAATAATATAAATTATTGTAGAACTATTGCCGATTTTATGACTCAATAGCTGTTATTATTTATAGTAGCAATAATCGACAAATTATACTCTCACATCTGATTGTTTCTTTAAGGGTTATAGTAAGGAGCAAATGTATTTATTTTATTCACTTTTATTCTTTTATTTGTTTTTACACGTGATTTCACTTCGCGTGATCGGAAAATGTTCACTGATTGGGATGAGAGCTTATGTCCTTTTCCATTCCACATAGTACTTGTATATTAAATTTCAACTTGTATATTTAATTTAAAGTAAGGATTATTATTATTAGATTAGGTTTAGATTAGAACTAATAAATATATAATAATAATAATAAATACTATACTGTTTAAATTTTTTATTATACGCACACTGCCCACTGGTAATTTATACTTCTTTCTATTCAAGGTTTGTTGGAATAAAACTTTTACAAAATTAATTTCGCCCGTTGTACGTCTTCGTTTAATATAATTTATAACAATATAATTTTTGTGCACTATAAAGTATAAATAAATAAAAAAAAAGTATTTCAATATTTCAAATTTGTTGACGGTAATTAACATATATTCGTATGATAGATACCCAGTCCGTGTCCTGCCTGGCCTGCCGACATCGGTAATATCTTGTCCTTATCTCGATATACATCGATTATACTATGGAATTTCTCAACCGATTGTTAGGATCTACAATCGATTATTAAAATGTAACTAGAAACGTCTGTAGTACGTCATTAGAGTAGGGCACTAAAATGTAACTTTCTCGTAACTGATTCGCTATTTGCGTAGTTTAAAATAGTAAAATTTTAAAGAAATAAAAATGTGTCTGCAATTCGAATATAGACCTCACTAAGCTTAAAATAATTAATAATTATAGATAATAAGTAAGTAGTTCAGATATTGCAGAAAGTAAGTATAAATAATTTGTATAGATTTATTGTATCGATCGTTGAAAGCTTCCGACAAGTCATTGGCATAAAAATTGATAAAAAAAATTTACATAACATGTAATTTTATCGTCAGAAGCGCTCTACTTACGAGTACATTCTCTTTTTTGTACAAACGTTTCAAAATTTTGGTTGGCTGACTGAAAGGTCACTCTTTTTTTTTTTAATTAAACTCGTTTGGTGATTTATTTCCACTTATTCGTTCATTCTTAATTAGGGCTATTTTTGTATAAACCATTAACAACTGCAGGAGATTTATAGCCTATACTTTTTATAATTTCAGCAATATGTCAAAACTAACCTTTTTTATGACCTCTTGACTAACCTCTTTTATTTCTATAGTGAATAAAACATTTTAAAGTTAAAATTTTGTAATAAAAAAAGGCGTTGTTTCAAATATATACTTTATTATTTTCTCAGTCAGCATATTAATGTGTAATTTCTGCACTTCTTTTATACATTTAATAATGTATTTTTTTTATGTTTTTTTGATGTTTTAATTTTATGACTGCTTCCACAAGCAAATGCACTTTTTGATATAAATACAAATTTAAGAACATTGTTTTAAATATTGGTAATAATTATAACTTATATATTTTAATTATGATCGTTGATCGATCAACCATAAAAATAAAATATTAGTGACATTTTAGTGGCATTTGAAGCTGATAGCTCGTGTGGGTGGAGCTTAATGGATCAGCAGTGGACGAAAGTTGTTCATTGGATGTTATCAATTCGTGAACATGTAGATTATTCTGATTATGGATTGTTGCTTGCTATAAATTGTTATTTAATAAAAAATGTATTTAATTTTTATATAACTTTAAAAACGGGAGGTTTCGACTTTTGTGTATGATATTTTCAATAATTCTCAAATTATGTCCTTTTTATTTTTTTTTTGGAAATCATTAGATATTTTGAAAATTTTACAACGAATCGTTAGTTTTGTTTTTTATCAGTGAATAGTAGAAATAGCACATTAAGCGCCCTAATAGGGTGTTATACTCAACAGAACTTTGGGACTTTAAGATATGATTGTAAAAATATTGAAATATATAAAGAAATCTATATATCAGAAGGAACTACCGATTGTTAAATATCTTCTCAATATCTTACAAAGCTAACAGTTCTACTATTAGATATATCGTGTCATATAAGATATTTCCAATATAGAATAATTAAGCACTCATTACATGATCAGTCATTGCCATCGGTCACGAGCTATGCGGCACGTAATTATGAAATTTATTAATACCTACCTTTAATAATAAAAGAACAAGACGTAACTAATGAAATAGCAATTGAGCGATCATGTCGCGATAAATATACAAGGTGACCACTGACCACTGGCATCGGTAAATTGTAACATTTCATTGTCGAAAAACTGCACAGAGCACTTTCAATTGTATCTATACGTGGATACTGTTACGCAACACGCTATTAAGAGATACACAATCGATCTCTGTTTGAAACGTTTACTTAGATGTTGCTGGGCACTTGTAATAACATGAAAACTCGATTAGAATTCGCCTCGGTGAAGTTAGATTCTATACTGATAACTTCATGGTTCTGTAGTTTTAATGGCAACATAGGGGAAAAATTTACCAATATACATTTCTAGAATGTGGTTTCTTTTCATACTTATGTTATATACGTATCAAGAGATCTAATATACGAGTATAAAAATTAATTTGTCACTATGATTTTTATAAGAATGAGAATGTAGTTAGTAGTAAAACACTATATATAATTGTTTATATTTATTTATAGATAGATAGATGCTCTTTATTGTTTCCTTCAAAAGATTACAATAGTAAAATTATTATCGATACAAATAATTACAAGAAATAATCACAGTGAGAAAACAATGGTCGACCTTATCGCTAAAAGCGATCTTTCAGGCAACCTTTTGTTTTATTTATATATAATTATTTAAAAAAATATTATATATTTAATATAATTTTATACTTATCCCTATATAAAACTTGGAATATTGTTTGTAACTTATTTAATAATATTACAACCTTACCGTACAATAATTTTTTGAATAAATTTTAAGATTATGTTAAGTATGGATTATTTGTTTAAATTATTCAAATGATCTCCAATTAAAAAGAAAAATGATCCAGAAATAAAGTTGTATTAAATTTAAATTTCTTAGTGTATCCATACAATGTATATTTATAGTAAGTTGGTAATTTAGAAACCGAAGAAAGAATATTTACAATTTGAAACTGATCCCTAAAGCCTCAACGGAAGATTAGTCGCGCAGATATATACTATGCTGTTGCGAAGCAGCCTCGGGGCCATGCGTTGTAGTGCGCCTTCATTACGAATACCCAAATAGCTACCTATAGATCGACATGTTTCGATTTCATTTAAAATTGTTATTTAATTGAAGTAATTATATGTACATACATTATATATAGATCTTATTATAGACAACATTACAAGCACTTCTGCAGCTATAGCTAATGTATATATGTAATAGAATAACATACAAAACTTTATAACACTTTATTAGTAATCCTTAACGAAGTTTGGCTACTATAGTAGAAGATATATAAATAACTAATACTTGGTTTGGAAAGATCGATTTTAGCGATAAAGCCTGTCCTTTTTTCTCTGTATCATTTAACTATCTTCAAAGAATTCAAACCAAATTCCATGCAGGAAAAACAGAGATACCCGAATGCCAATTCCTAAACACGTCTTTATTCACTTTCATAACTCTGTAATTTAATTTTAATTTTTCTATTGTCGTATTATATTCTATATCTAGACCATTTACAGGTTCAGATAAATATATATATATATATATATATATATATATATATATATATATATATATATATATATATATATATATATATATATATATATATATATATATATATATATATATATATATATATATATGTATATTTTTCTTTTTAACTGCAAAGAAAGCAAACAAGCATAAAGCCTGTCTGATGGTAAACAGTCACTGCAGCCTATGGACGCCTGCAACAATCTATGTTTCATTAGGCACTTGTGCTTTTTGATTGCGACAAACTAACTCAAACTTTTGATCTAACGAATCTCTTCCCACTTCGATAATATGGAACTGGTACGACTACGCAATGTACGAATGGACAGCATGTAAGCGACGGAACCATTACCACTGGAGATTTTATTCCGAGATTAATTAAAAGATACGGCGACGGGCCTGCCGTCCGCAAGAGTGAAAACGCGTCATCTTAATGACTTGACAATTGCGACGCTATCGAAACATTCATGATCCATTTCAATGTAGAAACTAATCTTTTTCTACGCCTATGAGTAAACTAAGCAATGGAGTGAACTTTTAGAATGTACATTGCAGAATCAGATACGGCAGGTGCAGCGTTAGAGAAATGCCTGAGGCGGTAAGGGTTGCGTGTGGCGGACCAGTTATGCCAAGGAGAGTCACTGAGGCCGTTTTTGCAAATGATTTAAGTGTATATATGTTTTCCATCAAACTGTCGGAACATATCGCTAAGGTTTTCATGACCTTTGATATTTGCGGAAATAATATTAACATGAAGTATAAGTTCATTCACCTAGGTAAATTGCGAGTCTAAAATGATTTTATTGTAAAAATGGTTTCTCACATTGATAGTTTGTGCTAAAACACAACTTTGAATTATGTATAGAGTAAGCCTGTCGGTTCAGTGTGGGCGATCTCGATGCATATAGATGTTACTATTTTGTTTCTCCTGTGGGTTGTTGTCAACCTGGAGGTGTTGGATTCTAGTTCGTTAGCAATATCATCACTTTCTAACCAACAGCGTTATACTAAACTTGATGGAAATGTCACGTTTGCCCACATGGAAACCATTTTGTTCCGTTACCTTTTAGATTATAGGCCATTACATTTTTGGAGAATTTGTTTTTTTTTTTTTAGTGAATGGCTTTCGGATAATTGTTTCCTTATTATATTTTAATATAATACCTAAATATTTTTAATATGACTGTAGATATTTTTCTGAAGATTTTAGAAAAGTAAATAATATATCTATCATGTTAAATTATAGAATATTAACATTAACTTATTATTCGGTAAATCACTTCAAAAGTTCAGAATCTCTTGACGCCACTCTCACACTAGGAATGAACTAATTCTGCTAACTCTTTAGAATACTAATAAGTAAAATCTTCTATATATTTATCGTTAACTTTCAAAATTATAAATCGTGTTATGAATTTATTTTGCAGACTCGATCGCCACCTAGTGCAAGCGCACGCGCAGCCGTCAGCAGCATTCCACTGCGAACTGTGTAACCGCGCGTACAGTTCCCGCGCGTTGCTGCTACGTCACAGAGCACTTGCGCATACTGATATTCGGAAGTACCCTTGCGAGAACTGCCCTAAGGTATATTGTTGGTCACATAATTATAAAATTTTATAATAATCGTCATTAATTAAATGAGTCTCACGACTTTGTCCAACTCAATTAGAACAGCCTATACGTCAATTTAGGTAATAGTCTGTATATGAACCTTTCATTCAAAACTCTACTGCTGTATTTGAGTAATAAACATTTTAACATTCAAATATCTTTATCTGTACTAAACTCATGACTCCTTTCGTACTAATATAGGATAAGAACTAAACTTATCCATCAAATATGTATGCCAAATTTCTCAACAATTGTTTGAGCTGTTAAATCTCCAAAAGGTTGTTTTGAAAAGGACGTAAGAATGTCTATGCATTTTTATGCTGTCGTTAGGTAGATTACAAAAGTACATATTGCACCTATTAAGATGCGAATATACGAACATAAACATCCAAAAAATATGACCCTTCTTTCGTTGGCAGTCAAGCATAGCTCTTGTAAGTCATTAAATTTTAATATTCTTTACTCGAGCTTAATATTTCACCGGCTCCGAAACCTGATTATTTCAGGTATTTACCGATCCTTCCAACCTCCAGCGCCACATCCGCGCGCAGCACGTGGGCGCGCGCAGCCACGCGTGTCCCGAGTGTGGCAAGACCTTCGCCACCTCTTCCGGCCTTAAGCAGCACACACACATACACTCCAGTGTCAAGCCCTTCCAGTGCAAGGTTTGCTTCAAGGTAAGAATTGTTTTGTTATCTAACTTGAATTGTCTAATTACAAGGCAGAGTTAGCTCTCATTCGTCTTCTTATCACTGTTAAAGACTCCAAGGTGTTTTTTATGCATATTGGAATGGTAAATAAAGTAACGAATTGTCTGATAGTCAATTTTTGAACAATGGACTTTTGAGTCAATAGGTTTCAGAGTGTAATCGACAGCGCATTTATTGTTCTACAAATGATAAATAATGTCATAGATCCTAACATCAAAAAATGAAAGAATTATAAAATCAAAATAAATATAAGATATACTTTTTTCTATTTTCAGGCCTACACCCAGTTCTCGAATCTGTGCCGTCATAAACGCATGCATGTTGCATGTAGAGCTTTAGTGGAATGCGGAAAATGTGGCCAGTCATTCACTTCGTACGCATCTCTGACTAAACATAAAAGATTTTGTGATACAGCTGCTGCAGCTACTGTAAATCTTCGAGGCCAAATGCCACAAGGACTACCACAAATACCACCTCTACCAACACTCGGAATGAATACCACAAACAATCCAAATCCTTTGAGTTATCCGCTCTATAGAGGATTAACTTTACCTCTTCCTTATAACAAATTACCCCATTACAGCGCTGGACTGCTGTCAGCTGCTGCAGCTGCTTATCAGCCAGATTTTTTAAATCCCTTGCTGTTTAACGTCCAAGGTGTGAGATTAGCTATGGAACATGATATGGCTTTATCAAATTCTAATATGGTTTCTAAACAACAAGAAGGACGAATGTCTGTTAAAAGCATTGACAGTTCTACGTCTCTAGATGATTCTAAGAAAAGCAAAGAATTGGAATTCGATAACAATAGAAGAAGTAATGAAAATGATAGAATGACTCCAAGCAAAACACTTAATCTATATTCGAAGCAGTCTTCACCTTCAGTAGAAGATGTAACTCAGCAACGTCCATCGCCTATTATGCCAATATCGACACCAATAGTTCCATTTAATTTCTCAAGAGATGAGCTTAAACGTAAATCACCGTTCAATTTCTCATTAAAACTTAATAATAATGACATAAAAGGGCATAAGTCAGTATCTCCATCACCCAAAGATTTATCAAAAAGTGTAGCTAGTGACGATAAAAACTCAGAGTATTCTGACGCAGAGGAAGATACCAGAAAAGATCAAGGTGATCAGCCTCTTGATTTATCGGTGTCACGAAAGCAAACCGACAAAGATTTCGAAGTAGATAATGACGATCGTTCCTTTCGAAATTCATCAGTAAAGTCTTATTCACCACCCGAAAGTCCCGTCGAAAGAAATAAGACCCCAGAAAATGACACAACTGATGTGGATGTAGAAGGAGTCGAGCCTAAGCGAGAAGACTCTCCCGCTATGGTCTCGCAATCGCTCGCCTTCCCATTACCCGTGTACCCGAATCATTATCCTTCGAGGTTCTACTTTAATTCTCCCGACTCACTCTTGAATTCGTCTCACTCGCCCTACGTACCGAGTCCGTTTAATTTTTTATCCCCACTTCTCGGCACTGATGGCCCTCAGCGGCCGCCTCGGCCTCCTAGTGCCTATTCTAGCGGCAAGCTGCGGGATAGATACGCTTGCAAATTCTGCGGAAAAGTATTTCCACGTAGCGCCAATCTCACCCGTCATCTTCGTACACACACAGGAGAGCAGCCGTATAAGTGTAAGTACTGTGAGCGTTCATTTTCGATCTCATCTAATTTGCAGCGACACGTTCGGAATATCCATAACAAAGAGAGACCATTCAAATGTCCGTTATGCGATAGGTGTTTTGGACAACAGACCAATCTCGATAGACACCTAAAGAAGCACGAGGCGGAAGGCGGAGATTCTCCCAGCTCAGCGGATACGGAGCGTGAAGATGCATACTTCGACGATATTAGGTCATTTATGGGCAAGGTTACGTGCGAATCTGGCAGCACTCCACCTGCCACCTCACCGCACCCTCCACATCCGTTACCACCACACGCTCCGCATCCCTCAGCACTGCCTCACCTCGCTGCTATCTCCACATAGCCGCCGACCTATCCGCTGCCGCCTCTACCGCCTCCACCGCCGCTCTGGCCGCAGCCTTTTGAATAGCATCTATCCAGCAGCGTTTTGGGTATTTCATCTTGAAATGCTTTTTCGGCGGAAATACGTCCATAGTATTTATTAAATGTTCACAATTAAGTGACTATGAATGTTTATATTTGTGCTGCGACTGAGATCATAACATGTAAAATTGTTAAATAATTGTACAAGATGTCCCGGACGTCATCGAATCTCGATTGACGGCCGAGTACGTACACTTACGTGTCTCTATGATTCGTATCGAGAGCAATATTATAGGGTTAAGTTAGGACGTGCACACACGGGCGACCTTAATCTTTGAATTAAGTTTAACTGGTTGTTTTTACTAAATTTCGTTGACTGTTATAACTGAATGGTTGTATGTTCCGACATTGGTTATGTATACACTCCATTAATTTTCTTATTAAACACTATGTACGCTGGAAAAATTAAATAAATAATTAACACATTTGTTGTACATTAAATATGTAATTTAATATTTACGAATCGCCCCGTAAGAAAATATAATATAGTGGCTACATAAGTGACAATTAACATTAAAAATTTTTGAAATTCACTACAGATTAAGACTATAAATGTGTACGTGCATATTACAATCGCATGACAAATCACTTGATAAAGGAAATAATTTTAGGTCTGTCATAAACTATGTAGGTTATCTAATTAATGAAATGTTATTATAATTAAAATTATATATAATATTTGTTCCTAGTTTAATTATAAGATTGTGCCCTCGATAGTTGTAAATAATATTATCTTTCCATTTATTATAAGGTTGTTATGTACTATAAATGTAAGTGTACTTGTAAGAACATTTGCTTGTTAACTTGTAAACATAACCCAACTTTTTATTATTCTTTATAAAAGATATTTATTTATGTGTGAATGGATATTAAAACTATTTTCTTTAATCAAAAATAAACCAAAGTTTTCTTTATGATTTTTATTTTAATAAACAAAATTAATACGAAATTCCAGTGATAATTTTCTCCATATTAGTTATATTGAAATTGGAATTATTGTTTCTTACTTTTATCTTTTTTTTTTTGACTTAGCACAAGTTTAGGAAAATATATTGTTTGTTTTAAAAGTAGTTATTGTACATAAAATTTCATACGAAAATCATATCAGAATCAAGGCTCAAAGTATTTTAGAGTCATTATCATTAACAATAATTTAGGATATTATCGATAAGTCGATTCCGCAAATTTTCTGTTTTCAAAAACCTTTACTGAAAACGCTCACTCATAAAAAATACAGGTTTCCTGTAATGTATTTACAGAAGTAATGAATCAGTTTAGGTTATTTTTGTTTCATTGGCAATCAAAAAAATAAAACATTAATGAAAAAAGCAATTTAATTGATATGCTGAGATTTACACAGATAATTATTATTTGGTTAATTACAAGGCCTTTCTAAAACAACATTTATTATTTATTGAAAAGAAAAAAAAAGGCTTTTATTTTATTGAGTAAGTAAATATTCAATATTTACGACATCTAATAAAATTGTATAATTCTTAGATATATGAATGTATCATAGAATAATGGGACTTAAACAGTAATGATGTTCTTTATAAAAATTGTAATATATTTGAGAATAAATGCAATATGTACTTCTGAAATTGAAATTGCTGTATTGTCGGAAATGAAATATGTACTTTGAAGTTTATTTCAACTTCAAAACGATCATTTCCGGCAAAACGGAACTTAATTATAAGTAATGTGTTGTACAGTGGCGCTCTCCAATATTTTGTAAATTATATTTAATTGAAAGCATACTGCAGAACTTTTATAGTGTTTCTTTTAAACGGATATATATTTATTTATATATATTTAAAATTGGTTATATACTATTATAATACATGAGACTATTATAATATATAATACATGATTAAAATAGTGTTGCTTACTGTTTTTTTTTTTAAACAGGTATAGACTGTGTGATTTGTTTTTCCTTAACTTTAGTTTGAATATAATATAAATTATAGCTCCTATTTTTTTGTTTATTATATTCAGTTACTAGTTCAATATGTGTATATGCACAAAATAAAAAAAAAAATATGAGTTTAAAATCTGGAGGCGTCTCTGTGCGGTACATTACATTTACGCTGTTAATAGGTAAATATCTTGACAATTGCCTATCTGTATGATCATATCACATGGCACTAGTTATAATTTTAAGAATATTAGCGTCACAGCGCGTTTATTGTACACTTGTACCTAATTTAATATCGGTTCGATTGCAAAATATCGATATTGTAACGCATTGAAAATAAAACAGTACAATTTATCTATTTTCTTATTTTTTAAATACCACACGATATTGCATTGAGTTTAATAAAACCATGAATACTTTTAATATTAACAAAATTTTCCAGAAGATATAGAAATCCATCAATATCCTAAATTTATTTCGAATATGACGAAAATATAATTAAAGATAGTTTTCCATAAGAAAAAAACTGACTTCAATTGTGACAAAACTAGTTAATTATTTTGATTTATAATCTAAACCGATTTTGATAAGTTTTCTATGGAACCAATATGTAAGTACGAGGTCTGTCCGGAAAGTTCGTATAAAAGTGTTCTGGAATGCGAGAAAGAGGAGTGGGGAGGCCAGGTAAGCGCAGGACCCCTTCCTTATGTCCCTAACAATGCTTCAGTTCTGGTCTGACCGCCGTGCGGTGCGAACTGGCTTGTCACGCCATCTGTGAAGTTACCTCTTAACGAAACCCCGTCGGCATGGAGCCCGCTTCCGTTGAAGAGCAGCGCGTCGTAATCAAGTTTCTCTCGAAACTCGGCAAGAATATTTTTGCCGATCTAATTCGATAAGACATCCGGGGAACCACGAACAAAAAAATCAAGAAAATAAATGTCAAGACAATGTTGATTGTTTTTTTCGATGTTCGGGGGATTGTCCATCAAGAATTCGTCCCTCCAGGCCAGACAGTTGATGGAAAATTCTACGTCGATGTGCTCAGACGCCTCAAAGCTCGTGTGGCACGAGTTCGTCCAGAATTGGCGCGAGAGGGGCGTTGGATTCTTCACCACGACAATGCCCCTGCCCACACCTCTCTTGTTGTCCGTGAGTTTTTGAGTAAAAATTCCATTACGGTGACCGAACACCCCCCTATTCGCCGGATTTGGCCCCGTGTGACTTCTTCTTGTTCCCAACTTCTTCTTGTTCCCAAACCAAATTGGTACTTCGGGGGCGGCATTTGGGGGACATAAATGAGATAAAAAAAATTGCTACGACGGGGCAGCTGAGAAACCTACAACCAGAGGACTTTCAAGGAGCCTTCTTGGAAACGGCGTTGGCACAAGTGCATTATGTCACAGGGGGAGTACTTTGAAGGGGATAAAATTGATTTACCTGAATAATTGTAAAATAAAATTTTTAAAAAACTTTTATACGTAACAAACCTCGTATATCTTTTCAGATAAATGAGATTTCTCCAAATCGAATAAAAATTTAGAACTGACGGAGTTATGAAGTGACAAACATAAAAAGAAAAATACAATCGAATTGAGAATTTCCTTCTTTTTAAAGTCGGATCGAAAACTAAAATGATAGATTCTACTTTCTATTTTAAAATTATTTTAATATAAAAAAGTGTTTCTCTATGTAATATAGAGCAGGAGGATATGTATAATATTGTCTTCTAAAGTTATATATAATTATTAAAAGGACATTTCTGTAAATATTTTATAAAAGTTACGAGGCATTGGTTGTTATCATCGTTATGTGACTTCTGACTGAATGTAGTTACCTACATAATATCGTCACCATATTTCTTAATTAGTAGATTACGTATGGTTACTGTCAATTAGTTTAGTGTCAAACTAATTCGCTTGACAGTTTCCGGCATGGCTAACGATATTAGTGACAGTGTGTGATCGATGACTTTAACTGCTATCTAAAAGATGTAACCTCTGTACATCTTGTGGATAGGCATGTTCTCCATATATAGTCACCTATCTACGATATTATGTATTCTACATTTTCTTGGCCCACTGATCACCTCGTGTAACGGCCAACGAGCAGAAATGAGTATATGTTTCACATTATTTAATATTCAGTTGCCATTTGTGTCCATTTACATTATGGAATAACTCATTACTAATTAATTAAAGCATCAATAATTCAAGGAAATTAAAAAATAATAAATTAGACGACATATATCTTCTTATTTGGTGTGTCGATGTAGGTTTACCATAGTGGTTTACTGCACTATTATGTACATACATATACGATTATTATGTAAGTAATAAAAGCCGTAAAATAAGTAAAAAAGTTTAAATTGTATAAGGTTGATAACATATGTCAATATTCTTTTATAACACGGGGCAAACGAGCATACGGTTCACCTGATGGTAAGTGACTACTGCCGCCCGTGAGCACGCGCAACACCAAAGACACTACAGATGTGCTGCCGTCTTTTTATAAAAAAAATATGCTTTTTTATTGAAGGTTATGCATGGGACATTTTGGAGATTTTTACTGGCTATATCGCATATTCGAAATCGATGAGAATTTATCTATAAGAATTTAAGTAACCGTATAGTCCAGAGATTCTAAGAGATAGCTATAGCCAGGAGAATTAAGAGAGCCGATGACTGTTGGGGAAGAAAAGTTCCTGAGTAACGACCCCGTGTAGCCAAGTGTAGTGTGGGCCAAGTATAGGGAGGGAGTGTAATATAGAAGGAGACCTATGTTCTATAGTGGATTATGAATAGGTAGTAATAATGATGATGATGCTTATTACAAATTTATTTTATTTACATTTATTCTCCTATACACGTATTATGAATATACCAAAATTAAATTTTTGAAAATTTGATTGCCTCTGAGATCCTTAAGAATCCATATCTTCTCCATAAATAACAAACAAATGAATCATATATTTCATATTTATAATATTACTAAGGACGCAATTTTTATATTGTTTTTGTATTCGTAGTCTCTCAAGCCACTGTTAGTAAAATACCTGTCTCAATCAAACTCTTTCCATTTCTCTCGGTCTGTCTTTAAGATTATCCAGCCCTTGGATAATCTTAAAGATATGGATTCTTAAGGATCTCAGAGGCAATCAAATTTTCAAAAATTTAATTTTGGTATATTCATAATACGTGTATAGGAGAATGACATAAGATACTTTTTTTTATCAGTCGAAGGTAAAAGGCGTAGATAAAAACTAGTATAAAAGCTTACACATTACATTATTGCGCAATATTATAATTGTAAATTGTAATTTTTTGTGCAAAATATAAAATATTCCATTCCGTACAAAGTAATTGGTCTTCCACGAAATGGGTTTGCTGTCAAAAACCAGAGCATTGGGTCGGAGATAAAAGGTCAAATTCAAGAGCAAGATTTTAAACTATTATATAAGAGATATAACTCGGCGAACGACGTTATCAGTGAAAGCAAGGACGCAACAAGGACGCGGTTAGGGTAATTACACTTATTATCGGCCGCTCGCCTGCGCCCGCGATTCTTTGTACCTATTATTTAATAGTGGGCGATTGAGTTCGAACTACCACTACGATACGCCTCATTGTCTGTTTTAATGTAATATATTTTGAATCTATTTTGTATTAACTGATTTTTAAGATTAAGAAATTACAGTATTTGATTAACTTTGTCACACACAAAGTACTAGGTATCTTAAATTAATTCTTATTAATTTTATACGTTATGTACTTATTTCGAAAAAATTAAATATGTTCTATGTAGGCCTTTGCTGTGTGCTCCCGCCATAGAATGGGCCACCCCTTTCTTTCCCGTGGGTGTCATAAAGGCGACTAAGTGAACTTAATGATTAAGGGATGGGCAAAAGCGTCTCTCTAAAAACATCGCCAAAAACCTATCTGCGGTCGTCGATTCGCTTGCCAAACATGGCAATTACTGGCAACTACTCCCTCTCCTAATGTCAATGTCCAGCAGTGGACACTTAACGACTGATATGATGATGATATATGTCATTTTTTTAATATTAAATTACTCCCTTACTTAGATAAAAGGCCTCAAGAAGCCCATATAATATAATAAAAGTAAGTATTACCAGCAATATATTATTACGCCTACACGGATTTCCATGTAAGCTTACTCTAAACTAAGCTGACACCCCGACCATTGTGTGTCTTTTCTGGACACAAAGTGGCTGCGATGCCGGTTGGGTATCTCGCTAGAAATGTCTTATTAGTTGCCCTTTGAGAATAGAATGAGATATGGCCTCGCGGCTCTTAATTTTCTCATATATAACGTATAAAATTATATTTAAGGAGAAGAATGTTGCTTATATCTAAAAAGCTAAAAATGTTGTTATAATAAAATTTAATTTTTAAAGTCAATTTTAAATAAATTAAAGTGATGCTCCGTAAAAACAGCAATCTCAATAATAAATTTATAGTAATTGTTATATAAATATGGAAGTATATGGTTATACACTTGCAAATTGATTAATCAAAATAAGTGTGGAAATTTCATAAATTGTAAATCTTTCTTTTTTTTAAATCGGATGATAATTCATATAATTATGTTTAAAATGACGTCAACAATCTCCTAATAGACACAGGGAAAACTTAATTTTTTGTAATATAAATATCTATCTTTGCAATATATTTATATTTTATATAATTTGTTACTACTAGTATTACTATTATCCGTAGTAGAGTGTCACCCTCTGGTGTCAAGTGTGGCTTATTGAATAATGGCTTTATATGCCCTCCAAAGCAATAATTATTTTAAATGACCTAAATGTGAATTTGAAAATCAGAGGTCTAGACTGATGTTTGATCTTGGAATTTCTAGACGGCAATCGAACGTTCTCAAAGTTCAAGTGATATTTTACTAGCTATATCTCGCGGTTTCGCTCACACAAATCAGTATATAAAGTATCTTATATGATAAGTTAGAAATTTCATTCAAGTCTATTCGGTAGTTTTTGTATGAATGAATCTATCCATCAACCCTTTCATCCATGATCACAAAATTTCGCATTTATAATATTAATAGGATAATAGGATTTAGTTATGCGTTACGCAGGGAAGATAGTCGATTCACCGGCCAATATCGTTAGGGGTTTATTTAGTTCACGTTAATACAAATTTATTTAACGTTTGCTAAATTTAAATATAATGCATTTTATATATTTAAATGGTCTGTAATATTATTCGTTCATTACTCCGTTACTCGTATTATTATGCAGAGCCGCGACAGTTCTGCAAGCAAGCTTGTACAATTAAAGACGGTATCACTATATTATATTTTCTTTAAGCATTTTTTCG